AGACTTTCCTGACAATACTTACGAGCAGGATCAAGGCTCATTTGAGCCTTTGCAACTCCCAAAAACCATGGCAAGTTCATGTCACTGGGGGCAGAGACCTATTTTCCCACATATCAAATGTTGAACACAGTGTGATCTTAGACAAACTGAGATCACCATTAATTCTTGCATAAAATGATGATAACAATTAGAATTTTGTCAACATTTGTCCTATTTTATATCAACTTGAGGTGTGTTTCCACATGAAAATTGTGTTCAACCTGTCTGCACTTTGTGATCAGATATTATATTTGTTCTGTTGTACGTTTTTGACCTCATTTTGCCTCACAGCTCCATTGTCATCACATTTTTAATAATTCTCAAGCTTTCATTGTAAGTTAATTTTAACAGCAATAACACTATGTGTATTTTTTTGTCATTAGAATTAAACTGAGAGAATTTTATCTGTAATTGAAAGCAACATGCTACTTTCATTCTGAACAAATTCTAGGCAAGTTTTAATTTATATCACCCTGTTCTCTTCCTACACTTCCACTTTTCTTTCTCTGATACATCATAAAAAAATCAGATTCTAGTGACAAAACAAAGTTTGATTGAATGTAGAGATAATTTTTACTTTACTCTGTTAAAAAAATCAAGCATAAAACAAAATCAGTTTCCTTTTTGTCACAAAATCAAAATTTGACCAAAGTCGACATTGACAGTCAACAGTCAACAGTCAATCTATGTGCCAGTCAATATTGATTGACCTGTTGACTTGTTGACTGTTGACCGTCAATGTCGACTTTGGTCAAATTTTGATTTTGTCACAAAAAGGAAACTGATTTTGGTTTATTCTGGATTTTTTTAACAGAGTAAAGTAAAAATTGTCTCTACATCCAATCAGACATTGTTTTTCACTACAGTTTGTTTCCTGTCTTGCATACCTATTTGAATTTTGAATCCTACAGATGCTTGGAAGTGAGATAAGAGAGGTTGGCACCTATTCCACTATGCTAATAATCGAGTTTTAATTATTTTACATAAACAAGTTGAATCATCTCTCGCACTCGGCCATGGCCGAGCCTTGGTCTGTGTGCATATTCGTCACTCATTGTGACATACGCTCATGACAGGCTCTCCTAAATGCTAGTGACATAAACTTCGAACTTAGTTCTTTTGTCTCAACCATCACTGATGTTGAGCATGTTCTGCTTGCGCACGTCCTGCGCCTTAATTTATTAATCCTCTATATTCCTTGAGTGATGAGCAACCACTCCATATCATGGTGACTAACAACTTACCTATTGAGTTGTGGCTCACCATTTTCTCTTTCACCAAAACCTTCAAATTTTCCTCAAATGATCTTGCTGCACTCTGCCTAGTGTGCACCTGCTTTCATCATGCAGTGGTTGACTCTCTGTATGAGTCCATCACAGTCGACAGCTCGGATGTCTGCACCACGCTTGCAGGGCATCCCCATCTTGCAGAGAAAGTCAAATCTTATGTATCCAACAATAATGGTCCAAAATGGTCCTGAGGTGCACCTGGATAATCTCTCATTGGCTCTCAAAAATATGACTTGCCTCTACGCTCAAGCTTATCCATTCACAAGAGTGCTACTTGTCGGTCCTTCAGTAATACTGTGATGCCAAGCTCCATATCTTTCATTGCACCTATACTATCGACCTCCAAATCCTGAGCTTCTTGAACAGGCAGGACAGCATCCGTAATCTCGCTATCACTGCCATGCATGCAGCAGATGTCTATTTTGGCAGTGAGGGGCCAACATTCCCTCTGACATCTCTCAGCCTCCTGGTATGTTCCCTGGAGAGCCTCAATATAGCAGACTCTCCAGATGCTCACTGCCTGCCTCCCCATGTCAGCATCCCCTGCGATGTCGGTGCAGATGTGTTCTGGAGCCTCTCGCACCTATATGTTTTCCATACTTCCACATTGCACGTTGAATGTTTTATTTTATTTTATTCTCTCTTATTCTTATTGCACAAACAATTCATTCAGACACAACAACATGCATTGACCAGTACAACGACAAGAAAGTCAGATGTGAAGGCTCAAAAATTAGATACATGGTGATATACAATATGTGTGACAGAGGAAGTAGGTACAGATACAGCTAAATGCACCAGTTGCAAATGAGGCTTGTGAGCTAGAGATGCACATCCTGAGAGTAGGACAAATGTCCCAATGCATGTTCATACACAAGATTTCAGGCAAAGAACCTGAGTGTAGTCTGCAGCCAGAGCCTCAAGGAGGAATTGAAGGACAAGGGACCAGGTGCACTTGCGAGTCTGCGTCGCTTGTGGTGAGACCAAGATAGCGGATATGTCAGCCATAATGTCGTAAAGCTCAGGTACAATCAAACTGTTGTGAATAGGTCTCAGTAAGGCAAAAGTGGTGGTGCTCTACCTGTCATGGCTCTTGAGGTAGAGTTAAAGAAATTCGGTCAAGAAGAGTATATCTTTCTCTGTGATCTGAGAACCCTTGCACTCTCATAGTATACTCACCAGAGCCTTGAGACCAGCCTGAACAACTTCGGACTCCCCACTACCAGTAGAATGGACAATGGCAAGTATTTGACAGGCAATAACTGGCGCAGACGTTGACAGATATCATTAATGGATATTTAGATGCCAGCGGGAATTCACCAGGAGGTGGCTTCAAGATTTTTTCCGCTGATGACTCTAGATAGAACTTGAGGATTGTGACACTGATATGAAGGTAATGCAGAGGAACTCGCCTTCAAGTCTGATATATCGGTGTTTTGAGCGACAAGGCATGATATTGTGATGGATGCTTGAAATCGGTGTACCAGGGTCTAGAAGGATCGATGATGGCCGCTGAGCATAGTTATTTCATTGATAGCATAGCAGGGTTGCAATTTCTCATGGGGAGGGTGCAGTAATGTGCGAGGACTGTATTGAGATGCGATGGACTGGAGCAGGGTGCTGAAAGTAGCCAGACAGCAGAGGACATTGGAATAGGTGTTGGAGGCTGGGATGACACGATTGGGTGACACTTGAGGGTGTGAAGAACCTATGTGAACCATCAGTAAAGACCGACACCTGCAGCACAGTAGACTCGGAGGCTTGGAGATAGACTTAGCAAACTGACATGGAAAGCAAAGCCCGTGTCAGAGGAGTAGAGACATGGAGATAAGCGAACAATGCACACAAATAGGAGATTGCTGAGTGCTTAAGCGATTTGGACTCCATGTGGAGCTCAGGTGGAGCACACATAGGTGGTTCATGCGAATTGCATTGCTCTCAGATGACAGGCCCAATGATCAGCAAAGATGTGGAATTGAATTGTCAAAGGACTAGGAGTAGAAGGACCCAGGCATAAGAGAACAAATCATACTAATAGGAGAACGTGAGACACACGGATCGGGGGCGCTTAATTTTTGTGAAAATTGATTTTCATATTTTTGTCCAGCACGGTGTAGGGATTCATTTCTGGCTGGGCTTGTAGAGACTGTTTTTACCTTACCTTATGTTGGCACTTTTGTAGCTTACATAATCAATCAATCTTTTCACCAGTTACCAGTATGAGTCAGAGTCCTCAGTAGTTTTTATGATATTTCCTCTCCTCTGAGCCTTGAGCCTGGTCCAGAAACCCTTTAGGGTCGAATAGCAGCTAGGTTCTGCAAGACCCAACATATTGTTCAGACTCACCATCTGAATTGTTGTACCTTCAACGGCCCGAAGTTCATAGATCAGCCATGGAAACTTAGCTCCAACTTTGATAATTACCAATAATTCTCCATAAATATGGTGTGTAACAGATTATAAAACAAAATCAGTTTCTTTCCCGCCACAAAATCAAAATTTGACCAAAGTCGACATTGACGGTCAACAGTCAACAAGTCAACAGGTCAATCAATATTGACTGGCACATAGATTGACTGTTGACTGTTGACTGTCAATGTCGACTTTGGTCAAATTTTGATTTTGTGACAAAAAGGAAACTGATTTTGTTTTATGCTTGATTTTTTTAACAGAGTAAAGTAAAAATTATCTCTACATTCAATCAAACTTTGTTTTGTCACTAGAATCTGATTTTTTTATGATGTATCAGAGAAAGAAAAGTGGAAGTGTAGGAAGAGAACAGGGTGATATAAATTAAAACTTGCCTAGAATTTGTTCAGAATGAAAGTAGCATGTTGCTTTCAATTACAGATAAAATTCTCTCAGTTTAATTCTAATGACAAAAAAATACACATAGTGTTATTGCTGTTAAAATTAACTTACAATGAAAGCTTGAGAATTATTAAAAATGTGATGACAATGGAGCTGTGAGGCAAAATGAGGTCAAAAACGTACAACAGAACAAATATAATATCTGATCACAAAGTGCAGACAGGTTGAACACAATTTTCATGTGGAAACACACCTCAAGTTGATATAAAATAGGACAAATGTTGACAAAATTCTAATTGTTATCATCATTTTATGCAAGAATTAATGGTAATCTCAGTTTGTCTAAGATCACACTGTGTTCAACATTTGATACATGGGAAAATAGGTCTCTGCCCCCAGTGTGTACAATGTTGGAGTGTCATTCAAACTATGGCTAAGCATTCAAAAATACAGAGTCAAAATGACTACCTCAGGCAATGGCTGCCAAGGCAGGAATCATATCTACATCACCTCCTCTATCGAGAAGCTCCACCAGAAGACAGGAGATGCATCATCTGCCAACAGGATGGGGTGTACAAATGTCAAGATTGTCTTGGCAAGCCACTCTATTGCACAGGCTGTTGCAGGAGTCAACATCATAGCAATCCTTTCCACTGGATCAGTCAATGGAATGGGTGATTCTTCAAGCGGAGTTGTCTAGCTCATGTGGGACTCATTATATACCTTGGCCATGATGGCAAACAATGTCCAGTGGTCACTGATCGGTGGAATTTGTTTGAAGAAGATGAACCCGAAGACCTGCTCGAGTCTGAAGATCTGCCATTTGTGTCCGGACCTGAGTTCTAGCCAAAGGAAAACACCATGGTCATTGTCAACAAGTCCGGAGTTCATTGCCTGGAGGTTCGATGCTGTGAATGTCTGAATGCCATGAGTCCGGACATTCACATGTTTTGACACAGATTTTTCCCTGCATCTTTTAACAGGCCAAAGACTGTGTTCACCTTCAGAGTGCTCAATGATTTTCTACTGGACAGCCTTGAATGCGGCACCTCGGCGATGAACTATTACAGCAAGCTCCGGCAAATGACCTCCAGCATGTTTCCACACCTTGTTCCAGTAATGCCTTACCCTTTTCATCTACTGGACATCATATTGACAAAGCACATTGCAAGGACCGATACAGAGAGCTCATGAGGGTCGCTCGACAGTGGAGGCAGTTGAAGACAATGAAATGGCATGGCTTTGGCCATCATTCTGATAACCCGAGCACAGGAGAACTCGCATTATTTTGCCCGGCATGTCCTCAGCCTGGGATTGATGTGCTGTTGTCAGAGGATGAATCTCTTGATGAGTGAGTCCTATTCTCAACCGCTATGGCCTCCATAATAATACTAGCGATCCAAGCTGGAAATACACCTAGTCATTTGTGATGGACGGAAATTTCAAAGCTGAACATCTGCATCCCATTAAGCCATTCAATGAAGTTTGGCTGTCCGATGGGCTTGGATTCATGATAGGAAAGGACAGGTATAAAATGCATCTGGCAGAGGCTGCTGACACAGTGGAAAAATCAAGCTGCAACAATCACCGGGCAGTAAATCAAGCTAATGCTGCTCAGCACAAGCTGGAGTCCACCGGTATCGGGGGAGTTGCCTGTGCCAGACACGGTTGCTTTGTCCCTCACTCCATGGTGGATTTTCAGAAAGGCAAAAGGCAAGCCACATCCACCATTCCCCATTCACAAGTTAACCATGGGTCACTTGCAGACAAATAAACATGGACTACACCCTTTGTGAGGCTTCCCGGCACAACATGGAAGGCATCACCAGGGCTGTCACCTTCTATGATATTAATTGTCAATACAACAAACACTTTCGGGTTCGGGTGGATTGAAGTTGATTTCTAGAAATGGCACCACAACTAACCATCATTCCTGGAATTGGGTTGTGGCACGTTCATGACCATCAGGACAGCTGCTATGTCCGATATGCTTCTAACTTTATTGAAGGCATTGGTCGGATCGATGGAGAGATCATGGAGATGCTATGGGCATGGCTCAATCTGATCTCCCCTGCTGCTCGGGTAATGTCATCTCCCCACCGAAAGGAATGCCTTGATTATCAGATGAATGACTCCAATTTCTGCAAGATGATTCACATGAAAAGGACTCTATGCCGGAAATACAAACTGGCTAGGAATGGCATCTTGGAAAGTGGAAAGGCATTCGACAGACTCGATGAAGCAGCACCCTCACATTTGAAGACAGAATGGTTAGCCAGGGAGAGGATAGCTCAGTCAAGCAGATTGAATGATCCTTCAGCCATGGATGAATATGAGATCAATATCAAAAAGGGTACGTTGAGCTCCATTGTCTCCATCAAGGTCCGAATTAATATTGCACTCAGCACCTAGCAAAAAGGAGATTGAGCTTAGATTGTTAGAGGAGGGTAACGCCCGCAATGCAGCACCCTCTCGCAGATCTGTGGCAACATGGATATCAACAGGGTTAGCAATTGAAGAGGCTCAGATTGCATTGCTCATTGAGGTCCAAAGGATCGGAAGAAGATCCACCAAGACACAGAGATTAGACATCGTCCATCAATGGGATCGGCTCCAAGGCCAGATAGATGGATTTGCTCAGTCTGCTCTAACACATCTCGGGGAGGGATTTGATGCAGATGATAAACCTGAGGACTTAGACATAGACATTCTAGATTATCTCGATGATGACCCGGCGGATTTCACAGAGACATCTCATACATGGACAAACTCTCCCAAGCTCACTGTAATCCCATTGCCATCAAACCTGGGGGTTGATAGATGCAGATGATGCATGGCAGAGGATCTGATTCCCCTGGAGATGTCGCTTTGTGAAGGGCAGGCCAATGATGCCCTTCACAATCTCTGCATTTACCTTTGCAACAAGGTGATCCTGTTCCGAACAACCATTAGGCAGGCCAAATCCCAGGCCCTGAAAACTTGAGCTTGGTCCCAATGTAACATATTCTATGCATTCAAAAATCTCACATCCAAGTCCTGGACGCCCAGGTCCCGAGTCCCGAATTTCGGAGGTCGGGGTTCAGAGACCCGGAGCTCGGCAACTGTGTTGGGTGTCAGGGTATCCAGAGCATTGGAGATAGCATATGTCAGTATTTTGCGTTTCATGGTTCATGTTTCGTGGTTATGGAATCGGGCATCAGGGACTCGGTATTGAGAACAGTGTTGAGTCCCAGGTCACGAGCTCCAAGTCCCGAGTGCCGAACCCCAGGGTCCTGAGTCCCGAATTTCGGAGGTCGGGGTTCAGCGACCTGGAGCTCGGCAACTGTATTCGGAGCATTGGAGATAGCATTTGTCAGTATTTTCTGTTTCATGGTTCATGTTTCATGGTTATGGAATCGGGCATCAGGGACTCGGTATTGAGAACAGTGTTGAGTCCCAGGTCATGAGCTCCAAGTCCCAAGTGCTGAACCCCGGGTCCCAAGTCCCGAATTTCGGAGGTCAGCACAGTTGCCAAGCTCCAGGTCGCGACTCGACACTGTTCTCAATACCGAGTCCCTGATGCCCGATTCCATAACCACGAAACATGAACCATGAAACGCAAAATACTGACACATGCTATCTCCAATGCTCTGGATACCCTGACACTCAACACAGTTGACAAGCTCCGGGTCTCTGAACCCCGACCTCCGAAATTCGGGACTCGGTGTAGAAACAACAATACAGAGAGGAACAAATGAAGCTCCTAACTGTATCTAAAAATGTTGTAAGGTCGCGCGTTGCCTAGTCTGCATTACCTGAGGAGACAAGTGTGTTCGACCCTAAAGGGGAAGCGAGTGCAGCAAAGATATAGAGGTACGCGCTGAAGTGAAGCGCGAGAAGGCGCAGGTGCGCGCAAGGCGTGGGAACACACGCGCATATTAGCGCGAAGCGTGGGAAAGCGCGCGCGTATGTGGAAATGATAGATAGACTAGACTTAAGTGATAATATGATGCAAGAGATGTGAGAGTGCGAGATGTAAAGGAATAGAGTTCTATTGCGACTTTCTAGGTAGTAAGTACTAGGTAAAGTGAGAGGTGAAAGTAAAAGTAAAGTAAAGTGAAAGGTAGGAAAAGTTGGAAAGTAAGTCCCTAGTACTACAGTGGCTCAAAAAAGTGTCCCAATGTTTGTAGGTTTTCATGTAATTGTGTTATTGCGAGCCAGGGTGTGAGAGTCTGACTAAGTCAAAGGGAGGTCCCAAAATGCTCCGCCTCTCGGCTACAATTATGTCCCCTATAGCGTGAGAATCCATTAACGCCGTGCGAAGATATGGCTATTTTAATTAGGTGACTCATTGGGACACTTTTTTGAGTTTGAATCAATTATACATAATCTCTATAATTCTAGTACTTTCTTTGTTGGGAATATTCTGGTTGATAACCCTGGCAATAGTTGACTTCCACAGACCAGTTTTGGAGGCAATCTGCCTGATAGATAGACCAGAGGTGGAGAGAAAAAGGATATTATCTCTTTGAGAAGAGGAAATAGACTTCATGCTGATTATGAGGGACATGATGTTATTGGAAGAGTTTATATATGTACAGGATATTAAAATGAGACCATATTGTCAATATGGGACCATTTATATATATATTTGTAAATGGTGTCATGTCTAAATGATCTGATTTTCATATTTTAATAGAAACTCAAAAAAGTGTCCCAATGAGTCACCTAATTAAAATAGCCATATTTTCGCACGGCATCAATGGATTCTCACACTATAGGGGACATAATTGTAGCCGAGAGGCGGAGCGTTTTGGGACCTCCCTTTGACTTAGTCAGATTCTCACACCCTGGCTCACAATAACACAATTACATGAAAACCTACAAACATTGGGACACTTTTTTGAGCCACTGTATGTACTGCTGGCGCTTATATAGCGCGCCTAAGCGCTGTAATGTGGAGCCGAAGCGCTACCGAGTAGGTATGTAAAGATATATATGAGTGAGAATCCATGATAAAAATAAAGACAGAACAATATGCAAATGAGAGAAATAGAAATATATGCACTAGAGGGCTTGGTGGACAGTGGATGGGTGCTTCTGGATGGCTGGCGCTATAGGGAGCTCAAGTGTGGGAACGCGCGCGTGCGCGCACATATAGATTGCGAAGCGCGTGAATGGTGCGCATTGCGCGGGAAAGCTGCGCCTCATATAGGGATAGCTGTGGGTAGCGCACAGAGTGACGCTACAAGTTCGTGCTATGTACTCCTCAGTGAAAACTTGTCATATCAGACCATGAGACACATGAGTCTCTACATCGGGACCTGGGCTTCCGGGACTTGGTATTCAGAACAGTGTCGAGTCTGGAGTCCACAATGTCAGGGCTCAGGGTTTGTCAAATGTGTATCACTGCGGGCATTTTCTCATTTTCCTCCACCAAACATCCAAAAAACATTGAATTAGAAGATAGAAATTTCTTTTTATTGTGTGTATCAAAACATTGAAAAAAAATAATGAATGTATTGAAGATTTTCTGTATGCAAGACATAATCTAAAAATGAGTCATTTTCCCTCAAGAAACAGTCTATATTTTTCATTCATCATTCCTCAAATAACAATTTACAATCATGTCAATTTTTTGGCCTCTGTTTTTCCAATGTTCTGTGTATCAAAAATCTCAATTACTTCATCCTGTTCACCATATGTTTGATCCAAGAACATTGAAAAATCATATAACAAATAATAATAAATATTTTGACAATGTTTTGTTAAGGAAAAACAAAGAAACTTTCAAACTTTCATTTGTATATTTGATAAGAGGAAATTTATGAAACATGCCCCATGTTTTGTAAGAATAAATACATAATGTTTGCAGTATATTCCTCCTGCACAACACTTGAAGAACATTTATTATATTCAGAGAAAAAAAATGAAACATGATTGCAGGATACTCTGCCTCAGAACATGCACAAATTATACATTGTTTTCTGCACACATCCAACCACAGTCATTCATTACCAGCTTCTCCCACATTCCCACTTTTCAGCATCTTCTCCTCCTCCCCAGCGCATTGATAAGCATTTTTCCCACGCGCTTTTCGAGCGGATCTCTCGCAAACTTAGGGTCATATTCCCCACGTCCGTACGATCATTTTGAGCCCTGGTTCATCGCATTTGGAGCAGTAGTTGTGGAGATATCGATTTTTTGGTGTTTTTGAGAAGTTGAGGGGAGATAAGGGTTTTCTGGGTGCTCAAAGGCCTGTCTCATCTAGCTCTTTTGGCCATTTACCATCCCTCAGTGGCTCTGTCCATTGCCCCAATCCGCTTTTTGATAGGACCAGCCCTTGTTGCCCTGCACCATACCCCTTCCTCCTCCTCCCTCTTGCACCTCCGCACTTTTCGCACTTTCACCAGCCCATTTCGCATCGAAACCCCATCGACCCTATACCCGTTTTGAAGCCCTCGGTCATGGCTTTCATTCGCGCATAACCGCTCTGTCCATCCATCCAATCAGATTTCCGATACGCCCGCACGCGCCCTCGCTATCCGCACTTCTCGCAATTTCCGCCCTTTTCCACCATTTCCCTCGTTTATCACTCAGTTCTCCACCAAACCTAGTCAACCCTATACTCATTTCGAAGCCCTCGTTCGCCTCTTTCTATCCGTCTACTCCCCATCGTCATCCATGCAACCATCATCGCGTTTTGTTCACTTTAGCATCACTGCTCCTCCAGTACTAAAAGCAAAGTCTGGGGATTATTGTTTTATTGCATTGCCTGACCCTCACTCACTGGCGCAGTTTACCTGGCATACGCGTCAAGGAAACAAAAGGTGTTTGAGGACCCCCAGGTTAGTTCTCTTAAGTTTAGCTTAGCTTTGGTTTGCATAGGCAGATGACTGGGGACAGTCATGATTTAAAGTTCCCATGAGATGTAGGGATTCATTTCTGGCTGGGCTTGTAGAGACTGTTTTTACCTTACCTTATGTTGGCACTTTTGTAGCTTACATAATCAATCAATCTTTTCACCAGTTACCAGTATGAGTCTGAGTGCTCAGTAGTTTTCTATGATATTTCCTCTCCTCTAAGCCTTGAGTCTGGTCCAGAAACCCTTTAGGGTCGAATAGCAGCTAGGTTCTGCAAGACCCAACACATTGTTCAGACTCACCATCTGAATTGTTGTACCTTCACCGGCACTCAGGACTCCCACATGTCAAGTCCCGAGGTCCAATTATCGAATACCGAGGCTTGCATCCAAATTATTCAGTCCCACATATCACTTTGCAAATGCTCAAAATTGAGTATTGAGGTCCGGATAACTATTGGTACATGGTTATCATTTGTTGGAATGTATATAGGTCACAATGCTTGCTCTTTGTTTGATCTTTCACACGCTGTATGGACCATCCACACTAGCCCATCCACATGATGGAACACCAGCGTAAATGTGAACAGCATCCCTCATATACCATGCCCAAGCAATCTGATCCCCTTCCACATCATAAACTCCATGTCTCACAATCCTTCCAGAAAACGCAATCATACAGCTGGAATTGTACTTGAACTCCAGCTGAAGGCTTGGCATTGTCATCCGAGCATTAGAATAGTTCCCCATGGTGGTGAGAATGTCAAAGCATTCAGCAATGGACATGTGGTCTCGATGATGGGGGGTTTCCTGATTGGAAATGATAGAGAGGGTGTTAAACACGGATGCCCAGTACTGCAGGGCCTCTGGCATCTGTGGCAGATCCTTGCTTACTGCTATATCTCCAAGGTTTGACAAGGTTCTCAATCCTGCCCAGTACTGCTCAGGATGCATGACTCTGAGTGCCGCGAACGTGATAGCTGCTGGCCTTGCAATGGCTTTGAGGATATTCTGGCAGGAAGGTCCCTTCAATGATGCAGATACCTCCAGATCTGACACATTCTTTGGGATTGGTGAGTATGACTGCCAGAATCACCATCTCATCAGATCCTACCTCATGTCCCTGTTGAAACCATGCCGGAGATAGATTGATGCATCTGGGAGTTGGTCCAACATCTTCCGAGCCCCAGTTGAACAATATTTGATTAGTTCGCCAATTGCCATCAGCCCTTACACTTTTTTCAAGGCTTGGAGTGAGAAAATTGGTGGCCTCCCTGATTTCCTTCTGTAGGTTCCATTAATATTCAATATCCGTTGAGTAACAATGTATATTACACACCTGGGTGGTGTCGGTCAGGGTGTCTGGGAGGTACCATGCAATGATGGCACCGGATGCATTGACAGTTGTGGCAGGTTCATCGACCAACCTTTTGCCTTCATGGCCAGGAGGACACCTCTCAAGCAACCTCGCCTCTCTATGTTCATTATGCCCGGTGTCCTTCGGGGAGATCAATTTGCTATATCTTGCAATATCCATCTGCATCTGAACTGTCATGCAGGAATTTGAATGATAAAATGAATTTTACGAATCTGCAGGAAGACCCACTGGGATTTTTACATGCCTTTATGAGTACATCAGCCAAGTGATCGCACGCCATCACCAGATCAGTGTCTAGGTTGGGGGAAGGTATGACTGGGCCTCCTCCAGTCTTCTCTGCCTTGAATTTCTGTTCAGTATATTCCCCTGCTTCATAAGTCACAGTCAGGGCCCAAGTGCGCCAGATGTTTATGCTATCAGGAGGGGAAGAGGAAGAACCATTCATGCTGGATGTTAATCTTGGGAAATCAGATGCTGAATGCTGGATGTCTGGACTTTGATGTTATAGGGGGTGGAGATAGAGAGGATCAGATAAGGGAGCCTGGGATAATTTTGGCTGTCAAAGATGTATTATTATCCATTGCTCAATGAAATACTACCTGATTGGAAGTGTGCTGGTCATCAGATATTCATTTGTCAACTCCCAGGTCCCGGAACTCAGAACTCAGTACGGTTGACCCATATTTGGGTGGTCGGAATTTGGCGTCTCATAGGGCAACACAAGCTTTGCACAGCCATGTCAGGAGATCACCTGCTGCTCTGGGAACTCGGTAACTTTGATTTATGACCTCCTCTGAGTACGGTTGACTCACATTTTGGTGGTCGGAACTTGGCTTCTCGTAGGGCAACACAAGCTTCGCACCGCGGATTCCACATTCTGCAAGACAACCTAAGCACCATCAAAGGCCATGTCAAGAGAGCACCTGCTGCTCTCTTCAGAAACATCTCAACTTTGGTTGGCCATTTAACACGGAAAGTATTAACTAAATTATGTGTTGAGTTCTGGGTCCCGGAACTCGGAACTCGGTACAGTTGACTCAAATTCTGGTGGTCAGAACTTGGCTTCTCATAGGGCAACACAAGCTTCGCACCCCAGATTCCACATTCTGCAAGACAACCTGTGCACCATCAAAAAGTATTAACTAAATTATGTGTTGAGTTCCAGGTCCCGGAACTCGGAACTCGGTACAGTTGACTCAAATTCTGGTGGTCGGAACTTGGCGTCTCATAGGGCAACACAAGCTTCGCACCGCCATATCAGGAGATCACCTGATGCTCCGGGAACTTGGTAACTTTGATTTATTACCTCCTCTGATTTGGTTGATGTACAACTACCTCAGCTCCATCATGTCTACAATTATGATACACATGGGCCCACTCATCTATATTTTATGCCACCCTCGGCCCACCCGTCTAATACAACATCCCATACAACACCCTCGGCCCACCGGTCTAATTAATATGTGTCTGGGCCCACCCATATAATACAATATTTTATAATACCCTCGGTCCACCCGTCTAATTTAATATGTATCTGGGCCCACCCATGAATGTGATAACAAGTACCTACCCATCTATCTCATACACATCTACCTTAATACACCCATCTGCATAATATCCAACTACCTCGGCCCACCCATCTACCTAATATTCATGTACATCAGCCCACTCATCTACTCTATATATTCCCTGCATGGGCCCACCCGCCTCCATCGGGAATAATTTGCCTCCCAGCCCCATCTGTCATAGTCGAGGATATTGTTATCCTGGGCCCATGGTCCGCTGGCCCGTATCATATGGGATATTATGCACGTCCATTCCCTTGTATTATACAGAGATAGGTCACTGTAATATGTGTACTACTTTCGCCTATAGCACTCCAAAATTCTACATAGACACTATATATTTTGCATACCTCCTTCTTACTTATCATACCTTTCTACCTCCGAGTAGGAGGAGGTCATTAGATATCTGTAGTTCTTCACTGAATTCAGCAAATATCATCCATTTTTATCTGAAACACTCCGAAACACTGACAGTATTCCGCCATTCACTATCCCCAACATTCTTTTCCTAACCCGACACTAACCTGATGATATCCAACGAAACCTGCCAAAACCCACTAACCCAAAACCCAAAAAACATCGGACCTGATGTTTTACATTCAGATTTGTAATTATACCTTCAGACTTCGTCTCCTGCGCTTCAGACTATCTTCCTTTTTGTATAACTAATTATTCTACTACCAACAGTTAACCCCTCAGGTCAAACACACTTGTTCTGCAAGTATAGCAGACTAGGCTGTGCTAGACCACAACTATTATATTTTGCTAGACACTCACTTCGTGTAGTGTCCAGCAAAAGTTGTTTACCTACAACAGCCTCACGCAGATGCAACAGTTCAGCTGCCTTTTCAGGTGTCAGGGTATTGAGGCGCAGAGTCTTTGTATGTAAGTGTCATCATAGAAGTAGATATAAAGTCTAATAAACTAACCTTGCCGGTCGAAGAAATCCTGCTCAGTGCAGGTGGCACCACACTTTGACATGCAACAAGTCTTGAGTCCCTTACAGGGGTTGAAACAGTCTGGCTGGTAAACTGAATGAGAACCCTGTCAGTTGAATTGATGTAACAAGAGAGGCAGACACATACTGCAGGATCATGAACCAATGGGGATGCAGATGCTTGAGATGTGGAATCAGTAAGTGCTAGTGAGCCATCATACATTGCAAACATCAGCATTGAGGGTGACAACATGAAATAAAAACAACCTGCACATCCGTGAATCTTGTATGCTTCACATTCTGATGCTTGGCTGGCCTTTTGTCGAGCCTTCTCTTGCTGTTGCAGAGCTTTGTTGGCCTGTTCACGCTGACAGTTTTCTTCGTCCTTATGAGTCTCAGCTTGCAAATGATATTCAATTAGCTACGATAATGAGAAGAATGAGAAAGGATCACTCACACATATATTGTGCCCTCTCAGTAGGATGGCGATCAGACTTTGCGACTGATGACATTAGTGTAGGTTAGAGTTGAGAGGATAAGCAAGGAATGAGATCAAAAGTGAAGAGTGCACCTTGGTCCTGATTTTGTGATAAGGTTGGTGCCAAGAATGTCTGAGGCCATGACGGGATGTCTCAGAATGTCAGAATCTGAGACACATGTTGGATTAGACACTCAATCAGGGCAAACAAATGATCTACATACCTTTGAAAACCAAGTTCCCCATGAAGTTCCACATGAACAACAAACCACAATTTTTGTCTCAAAGAGCTTGCCAGACACAAAGATGTTACCTTACATATCCAAAACACACCAGTGTGTCGCCAACAATGGGATCTCGTGGTCACTCAACAAAACATGTCCTGCAATGAACGGTCAGGCAAGGAGTCAGATATTGTCACACCCCCCAAATATGACTATGACATACCTGATAATATTGACTATGAATTTCCACAAAGAAGGGCCTAAGTTGATCCCCATGAGGTAAATGAGCACCGTTCCAAAAGGGCCAGAATCGAGGAGATAGCAGACAATAATGAGCCTGGCAGATTTGCCGAAGTGTACCCAGGGTGAGTTGCAGATGTGTTGTGAGTTGGGAAGACCAATTTGAAGAAATCCGGGTGAACCAGATTGATATGGGCCTGGAGGGGAGTCCATGGTATCCATTCAATGATGAGAAGGAGTGGGGACTTGCAGAGTGGATGACGAAGAGTGTTAATAAAACTGCTACAGATGAATTTCTCAAACTTGCCATTGTAAGTCCCAATGATGTCTCCTCTCCAAAGCACCTAGTAACACAAAACACCTTAGACTAGAAATCACACTCAGCCTAGTTTTATGAGCACCTACACATTTTAGAAGAGACTTGACAAACTTCCAAAAGGTGCTGGCTGGACCAGTGACATCGTCACATCAACAGGTGATCGAAGAAATGGCAATGATGAGCTACTCACCGAAAATCATGAACTTTGGTGCCAGGACCCTGTAGAGTGTGTGCACAAGCTGATTGGGAATCCTGCATTTGAGGAGTACCTTGGGTATGTGCTGGAGAAAGTGTTTGCTGATACTGAAGGCAAAACACAAGTCTATGATGAGATGTGGACAGATGATTGGTGGTGGAATATGCAGGTTAGTTGAGCAAAAGTTTGAAGATAGATAGCATTGACTAACCATAAGTTATAGCAACATCTTCCAGCTGGTGCTGTTGTGGCACTGATGATCCTTGCATCCGACAAAACAAACTTGACCTGTTTTCATGGGGATAAAGCTGCCTGGCCGGTATATCTCACTGTCAGAAATATCCAGAAGGATGTCCGTTGTCAGCCATCAAAACATGCTACAGTGCTGATAGGATACTTACCTATCTCCAAAATGCTCCATTTCAAAGATGATGAAGGACATCAATTGGGTCACTATTGGCTATTCCATAACTGCATGCATTTGGTCATGGAACCACTCATTGAGGCTGGTCATAGTGGAGTTGAGATGATCTGCACTGATTGGAACATTCATTGGATATTTCCAATTCTTGTGGCATACATCGCAGATCACCCTGAGCAATGTCTCATTGCATGCTGTAAAGAAAACCACTGCCCCCATTGTGTTGTAAGACCAAATCAATGAGGAGACCACCACAATTCACCTCTCCAAAATGTTGATAAGACTCACACAACTCTCAGATGCCATTAAAATGGAGAAGACCCTCACCTCTTTGAAGATCAAGGCCTTTGTGCAATCCATTATCCTTTCTGGGTGTATCTCCCACACACCAATATTTTTCATGCATCACTCCCGATATCCCCCACCAGTTACACAAGGGAGTGTTCAAAGATCACATTGTTAGCTGGTGTGCTAGCATTATGTCTGACTCTGAATTTGATGCACGGTTTCAAGTGATGTCCAAGTTCCATGGACTATGTCATTTCAAGTGGGGAATTTCAACCATCTCTCAATGGACTTGCACCGAGCATAAAGGGATGCAGCATGTCATTTTAGGTTTCATTGCAGGTGCTGTGGAACCCCACATGTTTCAGGTTGCGTGCACTGTCCTTGATTTTATTTACTATGCACAGTATCAAGCCCACACGGACATGACCCTCATGTGAATGCAAGATGCACTAGATATTTTTCATGCCAACAAGGAAGTTTTTGTTGAGCTGGGCCTGCGGGAACACTTCAATATTCCCAAAGTCCATTCTATGTGCCACTATGTGCAAGCTATTCATTCTTTGGGCAGCTTGGATGGGTTCAACTCAGAAAGCCCCAAACGACTACATATTGACTGTGCGAAGGATGCTTATCAAGCAAGCAACAAAGTTGATTATATCGCACAGATGACTCACTGGCTCAAACTTCAAGAGGCCATATTTCACCATGGTATCTACCTCCAATGGACTGCCTCCCAAAGTGACCAACCATTCGACTTGGATGCACTCAAGGATCAGGATGAGGACCATGAGGCTGCAGGCTTGGAGAGTGGGACTGCAGACTCATTACTGTCTCAATTTATTCCATCTGGTTTGCTTACCTCACATGGCTACCATGTTGCCAAGAGCTGCCCTTTTCCAAATGTGTCCATTGTAGAGACTAATATCCCTGTGGCCTTGCAGGGATCTAAAATCCCATTGTTAATATCACTTCCCGACATAGCGCGACTCATATCTCACACAGTGTGCTCAAGCGCTTCGTCGGCCGCTTGCAAGCACCAGCGCTCCGGTCACTCCTTAGTCGCGCATCAGCGTGCACATCCTCAGTTCCGTCGCACGTCCTCCGTCCATCCATTCCATGTCCGTTCGGTTCATTGGTGCATATTCCAATTCTATTTTCATTAATTCTGACATATCTCCAGCGCTTATGGCCATGTTTCATATGTTTTCCATTATGGACCCTTATTACATATTATCTCACATCTGCTTCACTTCTCGGTTCGCTTTAGCGCTTGACAGCGCTTAACATTACTTAGTATATATAGACGCGCATAAACTGTGTAATGACTATCTTTTTCTGCCCACACATCGTTGGACTATAAGTCTAAGTTATCCTCTAAAAACTCAAAAGTATCTAAGTACAATACGAGCGCCGCCGCCGTACATTACTAGAAACTCTGTCCATTAGTATTCTGACTCATTAAGAGTCGCTGCGCTCCACCACCTGCACACGCACCGCTTCTGCTTAAGTGCGCGCTTCCGTTATATCTATCGTCAGCCGCTATCGCTCATCGGCGCTCCACATCGCTTTCGCTCGCTCGTGCTTCGCTCATCGTCGCGCGCCTTACCAGGCTTGATCAAGTGCCCGGTTCAGTGTTTCCCTCCGTTTTATACACTTAGAGGAACCTTCTCAGTAGCAATCCCCTTGGGCCAACATATATCTCGCTCACCGAGGACTACTTGAGTGATCTCATACCACCTATATTCACCCACTTCCCATTCCTCTTCTACAACTGGAGCCCACCGCGAGGGGATCATCTGAGAAAACCGGTAGGTTACTCAGGCCTACTAAAGAACGTGTCGCAAGAAACGAAGTCTTGGAAGAATTCCGAAGAGCGGTCGCCTCTTCGCGCTTATCCACCATTCAGGAAATTTTGACTCCGGTCAAATATAACTGGCCACGGAACTTCTCAGAGCCGACGCACCCCGACTTATCCCTATTAACACCAAACCCGTTTGTGCCCACGTCGCCGGTCATGCCATCGCCCAGAGAATCAGTACATGGTGAATCCTCGGACGACTTCAAATCACACGACCATCCCTGCAACTTACTGCCCGGCGCATTTGTTGAATCGCCTAAAAATCCCCTAGACCCGAACTTTATTCCCTTGTCTCCGCTTACCCCGCTAACCATATCTAGCATGACCGTAAGAGAAGAACCGTCATCTTGGATACACGCGCCACCAGCAAGCGCAGCACCTATTGTGAAAACAGAACAAACAGAACCTCTAATCGGGCCGAACTCTATTCGGAACCGCGCCGCCATATTTATCCCTCAGTTCAGTCATATTCTGCGCAAAGTTCCGTTTCTTCGTTTTCTCATCACATCGTTTCCGAGCAGTCCGCGCATTATGCGCATTTATCGTCCACCTGTTCCATTATTGATAAGGCGTCTATCGACACCTTCAATTCTTATTATTATTATGATCGCGCACTTCACGCGCTGGTATATAAACCAGTCACGAAGAAAGTACGAACGGTGCCTACCACTATGCCGCCAGAGTATAGGATAGTGCGCCAGTTACCTGAAGACCCGCTCGCCAGGTTACCCGATTTACCGACTCACCCCCCAGAATTCACACCAAGAACCCGCTTTACACGCGAGCATGCAGAAAAGCTAGACTTAGACCCGGCCAATTGGCTGTGGCCCGAAGAGCTCAAGTTGATAACTTGGCTCGTTAAGGCTCACGAACTCGCATTTGCTTGGGGCGCCTCGGAGCGGGGATGCCTCAATGAAATGTATTTCCCGCCCTATAAGATTCCGACAGTGCCGCACACTCCATGGTCACAGCGCAATATCCCGATCCCACCTGCAATCACCGGTGAAGTCATTCGCATTATCAAGGAAAAGATTTCATCAGGAGTATATGAGCCATCAACGGCTGCCTATCGCTCACGCTGGTTTTGTGTTGTCGAAAAGGACGGCCATTTGCTGCGCTTAGTCCATGACCTACAGCCGCTGAATGAAGTTACCATTCGCAACACGTCGGTTCCGCCATTTCCAGATTTCTTGGCTGAAATGTTCGCCGGATACGCAGTATATGCGATGTTGGATTTGTACGCCGGGTACGATCAGCGCGTGCTGCATGTAGACTCGCGCGACATGACAACCTTCGGGATGCCCCTAGGACCACACCGCTTAACAACGCTTCCGCAAGGACATGCTAACGCCGTTCAGGTTTACCAAGGCGACACGGCCTTTATTTTACAGGACGAAATCCCCAAGTACACGTCACCGTTCATTGACAATGTACCAATCAAGTCGGTCAATACCCGATATCAGCGCGAGGATGGCTCTTATGAGACCATACCCGAAAACCCCAGCATTAGGCGCTTCATCTGGGAACACCGTATAGTGGTCAATCGCATTTTACAGCGCCTAGAAAATGTCGGCGCGACGGTATCCACGACCAAGTTCGTATTAGCCGCGCCATCCGCAACCATTGTCGGTCACAAGTGTACTTTTGAAGGGAGGATACCCGACGAGTCCAAAGTACAAAAGATTCGTGATTGGCCTGAACCGAAGAACCAGTCGCAAGTGCATGGGTTCCTAGGTACATGCGGTGTCTTGCGAATTTTCATCCGTAACTTCTCGTGCATCGCACGCCCGCTGATTAACCTAACCAAGAAAGATGTCCTGTTCGAGTTTGGCGAAGAGCAACGTCAAGTGATGCAAACGCTGAAGGATTCCATCCTAGATTCACCTGCGCTTCGGCGGATAGATTACGAAAGCGGCCGAGAAGTCATCCTAGCAGTTGATACTTCGTGCGTCGCGATCGGGTATATTTTGCTACAAGTTGGCGAGGATGGCAAGCGCTATCCCAATCGGTTCAGATCAATTGCGCTCAACGAGGTGGAAAGCCGCTACTCCCAAGTGAAACTCGAGCTTTACGGCTTGTATCGCGCGCTACGTGCAGTACGCGTATATATATTCGGCATTGTCAACTTAATGGTTGAGGTCAACACGAAGTATATCAAAGGTATGATCAATAATCCCGATTTGCAACCCAACACGACCATCAATCGGTGGATCGTGGGTATTCTTCTATTTCAATTTAATCTCGTTCATGTACCCGCAGCGAAGCACGCTGGCATAGATGGTCTCTCAAGGAGACCGCGCACTGACGATGATCCAGAAGAAGATGACGATCACGAGGATTGGATTGACCACGCTTACTCATTTGGCTTTGCGATCTTGAACAATAGGACGCTCCAAGTAGAGTCGGCCAGTGCCAAATATGATTTAACCGCGCTGTAGAGACTAATATCTCTGTGGCCTTGCAGGGATCTAAAATCCCATTGTTACTATCACTTCCCAACATAGCGCGACTCATATCTCACACAGTGCGCTCAAGCGCTTCGTTGGCCGCTCGCAAGTGCCAGCACTCCGGTCACTCCTTAGTCGCGCATCCTCGGTTCCGTCGCACATCCTCCGTCCATCCATTCCATGTCCGTTCGGTTCATTGGTGCATATTCCGATTCTATTTTCATTGATTCTAACATATCTCTGGCGCTTATGGCCATATTTCATATGTTTTCCATTATGGATCCTTATTACATATTATCTCGTGTCCGCTTCACTTCTCGGTTCGCTTTAGCGCTTGACAGCACTTAACATTACTTAGTATATATAGACGCGCATAAACTGTGTAATGACTATCTTTTTCTGCCCACACATCGTTGGACTATAAGTCTAAGTTATCCTCTAAAAACTCAAAAATATCTAAGTACAATATGAGCGCTGCCGCCGTACATTACTAGAAACTCTGTCCATTAGTATTCTGACTCATTAAGAGTCGCTGCGCTCCACCACCTGCACACGCACCGCTTCTGCTTAAGCGCGCGCTTCCATTATAAGTCACGCGTCGACATCTATCATCAGCCGCTATCGCTAATCGGCGCTTCACGTTGCCTTCG